GAGGGGTCGCGCTGCCCCTGGCGCGCGAGATCAGCGGTCGGAGCGAGGCGAGGCGGGGGGGCTGCATCCGGAGAGCGCCCGAACGGCTGCCTCTACGGGCAATCTCGGCAACCACGCAGGAGCTCTCCTGAGGAGGGCCCCTCCGAGCCGAGAGGGGGCCTCGACCTGGGGGAAGCGGGTTCTGAGGGAAACGGGTTTTGCTGTTTCCTGGGGGAAGACCCCAGGGTCCAGGAGTGCAGGACCTGTTTCCCTCAGGACCTGTTTACCCCATGCTGAGGGCCTCGGCGACTACAGAGGGTGTGGTTACGCCGGGGTGTGGTTTGTGACCCGCACCTTGGCACCGTTGGGGCCTGCAGATCACGACATTGTTCTCGTCGGGCCGCCTCGGGGCGCGGCGGAGAGCTCTGTCGAGGTCCTCGCCCGTCCCCCAGGGTGAACCCCCCTCGGAGATGCGAATGACCTGACTTGGACAACGCACGCCGCTGACAACCCAGACGAGTGGCCCTCTTTGATGAACGATGTACGTAAGATTTGGAGGCTACGGCCCAACGCGTCCCGCCCCAACTGGGCCTGGTCTTTTTGACCGCGTTGCGACTCGCTTGCTCGCTGGCCCTCGGTTGCACTCACATTGGCGCTTAAACGTGGAGTCATTGGTCGATACTTGCACGGACGACGATCATTGCAAGCAAGGTCATGTCCCCCATTCCCGACTTCAAACCCCACGATTCAGACCGTTTACGGATCATCGAGCGTGAGACATTCCCTAACCCCAACAACACAATGAATTCGTGGCCTAATTTAGGTCAAAGTTTTTCAGGAATGCACCTAAACATATGGGCGGCTTCGTCACATACACCTGCAACACATGCCCCCCATCCCCCATGTGCTTTGGCCCTCACGGCTCAGGTCCCCTCCCAACGGGTTAGGGGTACTTTGATTGCTTAGAGGGCCCTGGCCCCCCCCCGCGCTGTCCTCGTGCCGGCCCCGAGGGACCAGCATCGCCCGCTCGCCTCGCCCTGCGCCCTGCGGCCTGTGGGCCGTGGCCCCGGATCTGGAGACGACGATGGGGGAGAGCAGCCCATGGGCGGGCGTTGCGCGCATTTGCTCGGAAGCCTCGCCGAAGGCATGGGCCGTCGGTCGGCGCCTCTGAACACGTGGAACGCCCGCCCCTGGGCTACGTATTCGCCCCCATCGTCGCCCCCGATCGCCCCAGATTGGAGAAGTTCAGGGTGCGGCTAGGTGTCGATAGACCGCTTCGCTTCGCCAGCAGGAGGAGGAGGAGGCGGCGGGGGAGGAGCATCCGACAGGAATCAGGATTCTTCATACTGCACGATGACCATTCTGGGACGGAGCCGCGCTGGGGCAGGCGTCGGAGTTAGCGACTTCTGCCCCAGCTAATCTCCGACTTGCTGATGTCGCACGCATCAGCATTCCCGCGTGCGATATCTAGGCAAGATGGGACATTACCATCCCATGACGTTGAGGTTGTGTGCGGCGAACCACAGCATTTGATGCGGATCCAATTTTTATTTGTAGTGCTTGTGTTGGGTGATTGGCCCCCCTGCGCTAGCCTGATGGCGCTCTCCTCCTGCTTCGCGCGCATGATTATATAGTTACATATGCCTTCGCTCTCTGGCGCGGTTATCCCAGGCGCGGAGATCCCGCGTATTTTGCTCCATAAGCTTGGGGTCACTCATTCTCTCGCATGCACTGTCAATCACCCCCCGCGGAATGAATCATCCCGCGGTCGTCGCTGACGACTCTGGGTCCTGCTTCAGCCTTGCATGTGCTGCCGTGGGGTTGAGGTGGAGGGGGAGGGGGACGAGCAGGAGGTGGACGGGGAGGAGCGGGATGGAATTGAAGGCAGGGAAAGCTGAAATGGAAGAGGACGTGGAGGCGGAGGAAGAGAGGCGGGCGGAGGGGAATGTGGGGGAGAGTATCGATGATCGATCGTGGATCGGGAACCTCGTCCTCGACATGGTCGTCCCGTTCCTCGTCGTCTTCGTCGTGGTCCTCATAGTCGGAGGGCTCCTTCCCGCGGCACCTCCCAGGGCAGCGTGGCGCACATGGGCTCCTTCCAGCAGCGGGCGGACTCCATCCTCGTGGGAGCAGCCTGTCCGCTGCGGCGGGCATTGGGGAAGGGCGAGCGTACAGTCAAGAGACTGAAATATGGACCACGTTGGGCTCAGGAGGGGTTCTGGTTTTCGGGTTTCTCCGGGGACCCAGGTCGGGGAACCTGGCATATCAGCCTAGCCTCGCAGTGGCCTGCAAAGCCTCTTCGTTATTTATCCAGCGTTCCTTCTGGCAGCTGGGAAGCAGGCATACGGCCCCCCCTCCCGATCTACTGGCGCTACGAGAAAATAAAAAACACGACGCGTGGGGAACTATGAGGAGGACGCCTCGGAGGGTGTTCTTGCGGCGTCCCACTGGCATGCGAAGGATGCTCGCGCGGACACCGAGTTGGTGATAATGACGATAGCGATGGCGATGCTCATGCTTAGGATGAGGAGCAGGAGGAGGAGCAGGAAGAGGAGGAGGATGCGGCTGATGATGATACTGAGGATGATGATGCTGATGATGATGATGCTGACGAACATGATTGTGCTTATGGTGATGATGGTGATGCTGATGATGGTCATGGTGATGGGGATGGTTATGACGATGACGATGCCGATGACGATGATGACGATGATGATGACGATGCTGATGGTGGTGATGATGATGGTGATCCTGATCATGATGATGGTGGTGATGATGATGCTGATAATGTTGTTGATGACGTTGATGCTGATGCTGATGCCGATGCTGATGACAATACTGATGACGATAGTAATGGTGGTGTTGGTTGTTGTGGTGATGGCGATGTTGAGGATGATGAGGTTGTTGCCGACAATACTGATGCTGATGATGATGGTGATGCTGCTGATGATGATGACGATGGTGATGCTGGTGCTGCTGATGCTGATGATGATGACGACGATTCTGATGACGCTGATGCTGATGCTGATGCTGCTGCTGATGCTGCTGCTGATGCTGATGCTGATGCTGATGCTGCTGCTGATGATGATGGTGGTCTTGGTGCTGGTGATGATGATGCTGTTGATGATGATGATGCTGATGCTGATGATGACGATGATGATGATGATGATGATGATGATGATGATGATGATGATGATGATGATGATGATGTTGATTATGATTATGATTATGATTACGATTATGATGATGATGCTGATGATGATGATGATGGTGATGATGATGATGATGATGCTGATGATGATGATGATGCTGATGATGGCGATGGTGATGGTGATGGTGATCGTGATGGTGATGGTGGCTCTTTGGTGCTGATGATACTGATGGGGAGGAGGATGGGATGGGGAGCAGGGATGGGGACTGGGGCGGAGGAGGAACGCGACGACATGGAGGAAGACAGGGAGGAGCAATGCCATCGTAGCAGGGGCCACCAGTTCGTCTTTTGTGGTCACGACACCGTTCAGGGGTCCCCGAGTTCTTTTTTTGGGGGGACCAAGGGAATTGGGCGCGAGGGACGGACGGTTCCAGACCATCCGTAGAGGAACAAAAAACGGCATGAGCATGAACATACACTTTTGACGGTCAGCGCAGATTTCTTGGATCTGCGCTGGGACGCCCCTTCCTGGCGCGCGGAGCGCGCCAGGGGCGGCGCCAGAGTCGCCGCTAGGGGAGTCCTGGCCCTGTGCCTGTGGCTTGCGCGCGGCATTGGCCGAGGACTCCACGGCAGGGCTTCGGGGTCACTGCACGGTTTTGGGATTTGGGTCGTGTTTCGAGGATGTTTCGGACAGCTGGGGCCTCCAAGGTCCCAAAACCGTGTGGTGACGGACCGTGCGGTGAGGTCCTTCGGGATTTTGAGGTCACCGCACGGTCTGCCACCGCATGGTTTTCAGACCCCCAGAACTCGCCGCTCAGAAAGGAAGGGGAGCTCGGAAATTTGTACACCTCGGAAGCGCTGCTTGGACGGTATCGCTCCGCCAATTCTGGCCCACCACGCTGCGGTCTGGGCTCAACAGACGGAGGTCAATGTAGACGGGGGTCAGTCAGAGCGCCGGATTTTGTAGGATCCTGCACCCCGAGCCGCCTCTTGACGCTCCCCGGGCCCACCGAGGGACCCAGGGGGCCGAAAACGGCCCCAAACCGTTTATCGCGCTCTTTCGCTACAGTTCCAGGCGTGTCCCGCCCGCACCCCGACTGGCGCCTGTACCTGCCTCGCCCGATTCGCTGGCGCCCGCTGATGTTTTATTCGTTTTTTTATGTACATATATATATATATATATATATATATATATATATATATATATCCATTCATATTATATACATATAAACAAAGCATCAAGACGCGAGCATGTCTGGGACTAGCCCTCGGCCGGCCCTCGAGCCTCGAGCCTCGGCAGGTCCTCGGCGGCCGCGGCCTCCTGGCCACAGGAGCCGCCCCCTCGCGAGCTCGCAGGAGGGCGTCGCGTGCGAGGGGGCGACTGGCGCCGGGCCAGCCACGGCCGGGGGAGCTGGGGTCCTTGGGTTGTGTGTGCAAAGTCAGAGCCTTCATTTAGTCATCAACCTCGCCCTTCTCTTGGCGTGATCAACCGGAGAACTCCCTTTCTCTCCGCTTCTGCTCCTCGGTGCGGCGCTCGCGCTCCCCTCCGGCTCTTCTCCTTCGCCCCACTTCTCTATCCTTAGCCGCTTCTTGCTCCAATTGTCCGTCATTCGCTTGGCCCCGGAGAGGGCCCTCGAGGCTTTGGCATCGGACCTCCCCTCCTCTCTTCTTCGGTCCCCCCTCCCTGCGCGACTGTCCAGACCGTTACGCCTCCCGCGAAAAATTCGCGAGAGTCGGGCCCCCCCGCGAAAAATTCGCGAGAGTCCCACGAAAGATCCGCGTGAATCCTTCGCGCCGTGCGCTGTCCTCTGGGGCGCCCCCTGGGCTACCTCGCCCCCGTGGAAGCCACCTGGGCGACTCGCGAGGGCTGTTCCCGCGCGAGACCACCCCGGGCGACTCGTGCAGGAACTGAGTGGCGGAGACCCCGCCGGGCGATTCCACCGCTCGGACCGACCCCCCCCCAGCATGGCGAGTCGGCCCGTCCTGGAACTCCCCCGGGCGATCCAGGACCCCCCGCGCCCTCCCAGGCAAGCGGGGGCGCCTACGGGAAAAGCCCCCGCCTAAGCCCCCCCCTTTTGAGGGAACTTTGGCGGGGGCGATCCGCGCCAGGGCAGCAATCGAACCCTCCTGGGCGATCGACCGCGGCAGATTCCTCCCACATACAAAAAACACAAAAAAACATAAAAAAGCAGACACAAACCAACGCACAAAAAACACACACACAAACAAGAACAAACAAACACCGGGCGGAACATAAAAAACACAAACAATACAAAAACCACACGCGCACACAACAATGACTAAATTATGGTTCTGACTTCGCACACCGAACTAGGGCCTGCCAGCGAGAGGTCCGGGGAGCGGCGGTATCGGTACCCTTTGGCTCCTCCATGTTTCGGCTCGGGACGACCGACATGGGTACGGAAAGAATTGGTACAATGCCCAACAGCAGTTCCTGTTCATTTTGAACAGGACTCGCTGTCCGCGCCGCCGCGGCCTGTGTCTATTTGAGACAGAAAGCCGCCTGCCCAACAGCGGCCGCTGTTGGTTTGGGACAACATTTGCTGTTGGGCATTGTACTTATTTTTTCCGTACCCATTTCGGGCGTCCAGATTCGACACCCTCCCCAGATCTCCTTCGGGTCATGAGGAAATAGCGTCAAGTCGGGCATGTCCCTCTACGGGGGAATCTTCCCAAATAGTAAAACAAGAGTCCGGGGCCGATTTTGTGACGAGTTGTTTGGCTATTTTCGGAGCGTGTTTTTTTTTTTGTTCGCTCAACATTCGCCTGTGGAAGGACATGCCCGAGCCAAAGATAGCGACGGGCGTGTTGTGCCAGTCTCCGGCCTCTGGGGGTCATCGCCGGGCCCTGGGGTCGTCCACAAGAGCGCTCGGGGGTGGACAGCCGGTTCCGGCGAAGGGGTCGAGCTGTCGTGGGGCCGACGTTGCGCGAGCAAACACGACGTCGGGGTGTCGGGTCATGGGCGAAAAAGATGACAACACTTTCACGTTGTGCACGCAATTGTGACGTCGAGGGGTCGGGTCATGGGAAAGCAACAACTTACAAAAAGAGTCGCTGGGCCGGGGGAGCCTGGCCGCCCCTCTCGCCCCCCCGAGCTCGACCCCGACCCGCCCGCGGTGGTGACCTGCGCGCAGCAGCCGAGATCGCGAGCCGCGCGCAGGTCATCGCCGCTGGGGGGTCGGGGTGGGCCTTTGGTTGTGGAGGACGATCAACGAAGAGGAAGCATGTTGCCGAGTAGGTTCCAGATGTCTAGAACATGTCTAAACGTGTTTCAAGCATGTGAGTGTAGAACATATGTTTGAAACACTTTTCGAGCATTTCTCCAGCATTTTAAACACATGTTTTAGTACATGGTAGGATTGTTCGGGTGTCCATTGTCATGGCATCCACCAGCCTTGGGGGTGCGCCAGTGGCGCGGCTCTCGCAGCCCAGCGGTTGTGGTTGTCTCCTCTTCGCCCCTGGCCTTACTTCCCACAGGCTGCACGCGTACCTCCGCCCGTTTCCGCACACCCCCGCCGCGCGTGGCCTGCTCCCACTTTTTGGACCCGCGGGCGCGGGCGCAAGGTCCTGGGTCAGTTAGCGCAGCTGCGGGGCGTGCGCGCGCGCGAAGTGACGCCCGATGCGACACCCCTCTCCGAGAGGTCGCCGACACGACGGGGTCCTTTGGGAGGGGTGAGGAGCACGGCTTCGTTCGGACGGGCTAGGACGAGGACGAATCCGTTCCAGAGCGTTCCGGAACGCTCCCAGAGCGTTCCGGAAAACGCTCTGGGAAGGCCCGCGGCGCCAGAGACATCCTCCAGAGCCGCGGGACCTCATATATTCTCGCGCTAACGCCTCCGATTCTGTCCTCGTCTTGGCTTCGTTTCGTTGTATCCCCCAATCTCGGCTGGGCGGGGAGGGGGAGGAGGAGGAGGAGGAGGAGGAGGAGGAGGAG